TATATATGTATATATATAGTGTTATATCCGAAAATTACGATATTTTTATACGAATTCTCTATCCAATTTTGTTCTTTTAAAAAAAGAGTGATATTTGTTGCAACTTTTCATATAAAGATATCATACATATCTTTATAATTGTTGAAAAAATCAAAGACTTTTACAATAAGCTATATATAAAATTATTGAAATAATTAATTCTGTTCCCTTGACACATTTATTTTCTCGCAATCTTGTTAAGTGAAAAGATCTCTTTTTTTCATAATTACGATAAGTAATTTAAAAGTTATTAATGTCTCGACATATTTGTTAAGAAAAAATCGATTTTAAATTAATTAAAAAACTTTAAAACAATTTCTGATTTTGAGTCACGTAGTAAGTTAAAGTAATTAAAGAGCCTGTTATATTAAACGATTTTATTAATGGTAGTAGTGTGGATAGTATAAGCCCTCAATTATTTAGACTTAATCCTGACAACCGAAGCGTCAAGTGCTTTATTCTTAAACCAATACACCAGGGGCTCTATTAAATCCGTATTAATATATCGATCGATGTGTCGGTACACGTTTAATAAAAAATAGAAAAATACAAGAAAAATTAATATCAAAATGACAATGAGAGAAAGAATAATAAGATTTTTGGTGATCGCGCTATGATCTATATGTACAAAAAACAGATAATGATCCCCTAACGTGTCCTACTTCGGATATCAGCGATGTCACATCTGCCGGAAACTTCGGGCAAGAAACGTTTAACGGATAGCGGTGAGAGTGGAGAAGAGATGAATGTACCGCGATTATTTGATCTCTCATTAACATATACGGGATCCGCGGGTAGCGTGATTCGTACACGTGTTATGTTGCGCACGCACACGTCTATCGCGACGTGTAACGCGTGTATAACCGAGATCGCCGTTCTCCACGCTTGCACGGCGTGTGCTCGCCAGATGTCCAAGAGCGGGATGCTGGTGCGTCGTCGGGCGCCCTCGGTTCTCCCACACGGTGCGGTCGCAGCGCGGCGCGGCGCGGCACGATCCAACGTGGGTGGGTAGGAGAGAAGAGAGGAACGCCGCCGAGTGTGGAGAACGGAACCGTTCAGTCGCAGCCACGAAGCGGCGCGGTGCGCGACGACGGCGACGGCGACGACGACGACGACGACGGGTGACGACAGACGACGACGACGACGACGACGACGGCGAACAACGAGGACGGTGACGACAACTTGAGATGATATCCGCGGACGCTATATATTTCTCGCCCTCGGTCGTCCCGTCTCCGTTCGCTTCAGAAAGAGATGTCATCGACTTCCGGGCTGAAAATTAAATTTCAACCGGAAGAACCATATCGTCGATTTGACATCAATTTTCCACCACACAATCTCTGGCCTCGCGATTTCCTCGAGATCTCTCGAGGCGCCGCGGACGTGAGAGTGACGGCGCGGGCGCCCGGCGCTCCAAAAACGAATGACACGAATCTTTATGAACGTGCTTCGCTTAACGGAACCGTAGTGGAGAACGAGCGTCGTAGCGTGGGTAGCGGTGGTCGCATCTATAATTAACCTTGGAGGAGGCGTCTGGCGGAGGAACAAAAGTACCACCTCTGCAAGAATTTAAGTCCACGAGCGGATCCCCGGTGAATTGACAACGCGACGTAGGACAAAGGCTATACAAGCTGCTGCGCATCATTTAATTTTTTCTTGGACGTTCCCTGATGAATGTCGCGTTTTGAGTAAACAGCCAGATCTATATGACAATACGTAGTAATCGGGACATCTATCTATCTTAATAAGCGGTATTAATACATTCTGCGGAATAATCAACTTGAATCTGGATGACATTTGTGGCTTACAAACGGAGTGGATCGTCGTATGGAACTTTAGGCAGTGAACTGTGCAATCGTTTGGGAGGCGTAACTTTCTCGTGGTTTCCCTGTGTGTAAGTTGGAAATCGCTTCATCGTCACTCGGTATGAATTTTGCGACGTGAGGTATGTTACAAAACGGGGAATCGGAATTAACCGCGTGACTCATTTCGGAGAAGTGATATTCCGAGCGACACTTCGGTCACGTTTTACGAGCCGAGTAATTCCTCGTGGAATCTGAATTAACGGCATCGCGCTGGTCTCTCTGGTCGACGCGGCGTTACATCAGAAAACGACGATAAAGACCGAATGATTAAGAGGGAATGATTAAAGCACTCGGATGCTCAAACCCGAAAGAGTACGCATCGCCAAGCACGTCCTGATCCGCGATTAGGGGGCGGTCGATCGATCCCGGAATTAACGGCCCGCGAGTGTCAAACGAGCCGCGACAGGAACATCAATACCCTAATAAATGTCAGTCGCACGATCGATCGTCGCCTTTTGCCAGCCATGATGTAAAGAGAGGATTTAATAACGACGAGGGTCAACGTTGTCGAGTGCGGCTGTCGGGATCGGCTGTCCACGATCGTATGCAGGTCCCGATCTCCCGTGCGGGTGCGTCGAAGTTCGTGATCCTGACACCGCTTGAGGGGGTGGTCCCCAACAGTTATGCACGGATGGAGGATGAACTGCAGTGCGTGAGGGAGAGAGGTGGTCGCTTCTAAACCGATGAGATGACAGTGCTGTGCGTGCTGTGGGCTACTCTGTCCACTGTGGCCTCGATTCTGGCGTGCTCCGGTTTTTACCTGCCTTATTGGATTCAGGTGAGCGATTGCGTTACGCGCTTTTAATTACGTCACACCCCGTTATAATGTTGTAAAGAGCTATAAAAGTAGGGATCCATCTCTTTCAAGAAGTTTCTCAACTTCTCGGCGTTGGAGAAATGTTTAAAAGATTGTAACGGTTAATCGCGAGGGAATCTTGAAGGGGTTATGAGGTGGCCACAGATGATTAACGAAACACGATGGTTCTGTTTTCTTGGAAGCCATCTCTGTTTCTTGTTTTCGCTTGGATTCGCGTGCATTAACACACTGAATCTTTATAATTAAATTAATATCGCTTTTTTTCTCTGTCACGGGATACATTAGCGCTATGACGTTTAATGGTCATTAAAGTGCGACGTTAATGGGGCTATAAAGTAGGGTATCGATAAATACGAAAGCAACTAGTCCAATCGGATACGGATAAAATAGCATTATTACCGATCACAACTGAATTAGTTCCGCGATGATATACTACAATGCTCCGATATATGCACGATTGGCGAGCAAATGATCGATAACTTTTACCTGATTACTAGCAACTTTTAGAATTATGTTTATCAAGTACGTGGAAGTTCGCCTTAACTACACCGCTCTATTCCATTACTATAAAACTGTACGACATCGTTTTTCGCGTTTTTCTCACGAAGGGCCATTCTGAATTTCTTATGTACGTACGATCGTAGTTTGCGCATCTTTCATACGAATGACACGTATCTTCGTAATACATAAAAAACTTGGCATCGTTAACATGACGATGATGACATGAAGATATGAAGAAGTCGTTCCTCGCTTATCGTCGAAGGTTCTCGTATCGATGATTTTGACGACTGCGACGATTTCTCTGGTACGATCATAAAGCGATTTAATAGACGTCGTGATAAAACCGACGAAATTTGCGTGTTCGCCCGCGAAAGTACTGGTGATTTCGGAAGTTTCAACGACGTGCATATCAAGAACATTTCACGATTTCACTAAGACGAATCAATGTACCCAAAAATTAGCGTATCGGAGTATGCGATCCGTCTACATTGAAATTAGTTTAGGTCCACAACCTTGCTTTAATAGCCGTTTCCACCAATGTATAATAGATTAGCTTTAATCTCGGTTTAACTTACTGTTTATCTTTTTCTAATTTTTAGAACTAGAAAAAGACGAAGAGCAAATTGAACCGAGATTAAAGTTAATCTGTATTAGTGGAAACGGGTATAAGAGGCTGTAAGCCATAAGTCGTAAGTTGTAAGTAACCACATATCGGTCAGAGAACTTATGCTTTTAGACCGTAAGAATTGGGTTCTGCTCAATTTGCTTAAGTCTAACGATTAAAGAGTAAAGACTGCGGAAAAACAGTTTAAAGACAGAAATTAATCTCTTTCGACTTACGGCTTACAAGACAAGATTGTGGCCCGAGGCTTCTAATTCAGGGGAAAACAGAAGATTGTATATTAAACGGAAAATTGCATATTTTTCTTACGTTACTTCTTACATTGTGTGCTTTTTGCACGTGTTCAAGCGGGCAGTTCATTTATCACTCTCGAGCTATTCATTGGGAGATCAGACGGTTGAAATTCTCGTGAACTCGAATTTCAGGACTTGCTGAGGTCGAGTTACGAATAACGAGAGCGGTGTTACAGCTCTCCAATTCTCATTCCCATTAATTCTTGATTTCTACTGTGTAGTTAAGTGTAATCCGATTATACGTGTATCGATGTATTTCTCAATAAATTAGCTGGGAATCCCGAGAATGCGAGCGTGCCTTCGACAAAAAGCGGATTAAAGGATAAAGTATTCGTTTTAAAGCGCCTTTGAACTTGCGAGCTTTAATGTTGAGATAAGATTGCAGCATTACTTGTAGATATTGTTACTGGCTATTTACGTATTTCATTTTCGTCCGTACACAAGATGTAAAATCGGACGAGATGAATAACAGCGGAGTTTGCGACAAAGAAGCGAAACACAAAAACGAAGAATAGTCAGAAAAGAGCAACTTGGAAATAAGAAGAAAAGCAGAGAAGCTAGAGAAATAAGAAATGAAACGAGGACGGCAAAGAAAACGTGAGAAATCGAACAAGCACGAGTCATCCGACAAGATGGATCGTAGAGCGGCAATAGTAATCGAATTCTTCGTTTTAAACCACGAGCGAACCAACGAAACTGAAACATTAGTTCTACAGCATCAACAGTATACGGATATTTGTCACGTAATTAGTATTTTAGCCAGTTTCGTAAAGTTAAACGAACTGAAAGGAATTTATATATTGTAATAAAAGATACACGAGAGAGAAAAGAAATCTCAAATATTAAAAGAAATATCATTATGTTAACGAATGTGCGATAAAAAGTACTAAAAGATTAAATTCTCTAGACATTTAGAACTAGAATGGCAATAAAAAATGAGTGAAAATGCATGTTGCAAATCGTAATAGTAATTATATTCACGTAACGGAACAATAATGTACTTTCAAAGAGTACTGTAATTCAGACAATTGAATGATTTCACTCTAACTACAATTCGGCATTGTCAACAAGTGTAACAAAGTCTTGGCTGTGACGCGAAGCAAAATTTCGGTCCTTGAAACTTACTGAGACGTTCGTTACGCGTACAAGATTCTTGAACGCGACAAGAACGCTCTGGGCACCGACAACTTGGTAGAGAGAAGTTGATGAGGCGAATATCGTCGGGTAACTTTGTACTTCGTGTGACTGCTACTTGCCTTTACCTGGTCTGGCCGATGTTGTTGCAGATTCAAGATAGTTTGGCCCCACTCGCGAAATTGTTCATATTCTACGCGTCGCGTCACAAACGAAACCGCCTCTCAAAAGAGAGATCCTGCTCTTCGCAGTTATATGGTCAGGAAATTGCTACTTTTTCCACACTCCGAATCTATTTTGTATATTTTCTCTAAGCAGCAAACTTTCTGCATAGTCTTGACAAACCCTTTTATGTTCCGCAGGTAGTGAAAGTAATTATAGTTTGCTTTTCCGAGATCTTGTTACCGTTGATAGTGGATATTCGTTTCTAAGAGCTCGTTTGTACAGTTTAGGATTAATGACGTATCGGTTCTCCGTATAGCGAATCACTGAAGGAATCTAGAGCTATAAGGGGAGCCTTGTTACAAGAGGAATCTTGTTAGTCAAAGCGTTTCATCAGTTTAATTAACAGATGGTCTTCTCTTTAGAACCAATTATACATGTATACCTATATTTTGTCTATGTGAATTGATCTTCTTTCTTTTGAATATAGCACACTGAGAAAAATTTTAGTCCAATGAATGATCATTAATCAATGTTCAACTTAATAATGTTATTTACGTTAATTAATGTCCAATTATTCATTGATACAATAACTAAATTCATTTATATAATTATATATTCATTCTTGCAATAAATTCTAGTAACAGTTTTATAACCTAAGAATTCATTGGATCAATTTTCATTAATTGAAGGAATATTTTATTGTATTTACGTACAGTTTTGGTTCAGTGCATGCATTTTTATGAATGCTATGTTATAAGACAATAGATTATAAGTGTAAATTAACTATTACGTTTTATGGCATCAAAGTTTGTAAATAAATATAATTATTAACTTCATTAGTTTTTGTTTTTGTTCGGATCTACTTGACTCAAAATATGTTTTATTAATTAATTTTCTTATTTATATTTGATTTAAAAACATTTCTCTTTGGTATTTGATAACCTCATCTGTTAATGTAAAATCTTTTTTCTTGAAAAACTTTTTTTTTTTAGAATTTTTAATCACATTAACCCAAACGATCCTATGGTAAATTTGAATAGATCAGAGTTAACATAAAGTTCCATACGAATGTATTTATTTTATATATACGAACGTAATTTTATATGATATACAGTGATATAGCGTTTGAACATATCAAACGTGATTTTTTCAGAGCTTTATTTAATTAGAATTTATATTTGTGTGTATATGTGTAAATCCATTTTGTCATTACTATGAAAAGTAAATAAAAAAAAATTCTTTTTTTAATAAAAAAAATATTGTGATCTTTTTTTATATTAATTATTAAATATTCTATTTTCTTTTTCTTAGAATCATTTAAGTAAGGAATAAGAAATTTAATAAAAAGAAGAACTTTTTTGTTTATAAAATCGTACAATTTTACGTTTAGTCAGAGACTTTTATTACGGTATATTAATGGAAACAAATGCGAGAAAAGAAACATGCTCGAAGGAAACGGCATTTGGCAAACGACAAGCAAGCTTATTACTCCTCCGCCAGACGGTCACGCTATATTTTTTCCGTATTAAGAGAAGCAATCAAAAGCATTCAAACAGGACGGCGAGACATTTTCTTTGGCGCCGTGTAAAATCTGTTAGAAAGGAGAGAAAATTTCCCTTGCAGTGCCATCGCCTTCGCATATAAATGAATAGACTGCATAAGTCTTTTGCCTCGGATGCTGTTGCATGTTCGCGCTACACGACAATCTTCGCGCCACGAATCAGCAGCGTTCAAATGTCGTCGACGTTTCTACACTTTACACTTATTCAAATATTTCTCATCTTATTTCTGCAATTACCTTCCATTCTACAAACAACTCAAGAAAGTTACATTAGAAAGGGAGTGAAATTAAGTCTGCCAATTTCTTTAATATTTATGAGCTTTATGTATTTTCATCGACGGTACAGCGCGTAATTTTAAGTTTACCATCTCCATTTTGCTGAAGTTAGCGAACTTTGGTGTTTTATACACAGTTTTATTATAAAGCCTATAGCGTTAAAACGTAATAGTGTAACAACCGCATTTCCGCAATCTTGTGCATTTCAGGGACGACTGTTGGGGAAGGCTGACGCATACTTCAGTTCCTTTCGGCGTTGCAACTACCCGCGAATCAGGGCGCCCAACGCCACGCCCGAGATAGTTTACGAGTGTGCGAGGTATTCCAGGTACGTATTCTCGCACATCACTGTATTCCCATATCAAAGCGAATTGATGCAAATATGTAACTACGATTAAGGATCTTGAGGAGCAAGAGACTCTGCTTATGGGGTGTTCGAAATGCTCGAAATGCTGTAGAACAGTTGTTCACTGAATCTGCTCGAGTCATTCTCGCGAATTAACGAGCCGGTTAATTAAAACGAGAACGATTTCGGATGCCGAACATCTCTTGTTACACGCGATTTTGATTACTTCGTTTTAACGAGATCTCTACTTTAAGAAAATATAGGTACTTCTGATGATTAAGATTGAAGGATGCGTGGACGAATATTATCGACGAATGTATCATATATTACTAGAATAAAATAATATATTTATTCCATGTAATAATACAAAGTAAAATTTATATATATAGGTATTTAAAGAAACGTATATATACTTATTATTAATTAGTAATAATAATATATGTAACATCATAAACGAACTAATTAATACAAGGATTAAAGGCTGGTTGGAAATGAACATTCAACGTAGAATTTAAATTATACAATTAATTATGTCGAGCATAACAGGAAAACAGGAGGATGTTAAGTTAGGGCTGTTTTTCGGCTGAAATGAAAAAGAGTTCCGAGATGTACAAATTATGTATCACGTCAAAGAACTACTTACTTAAGCAGAGTCGAGTGGCACTTCGCTTATCTTGGAAAAACATCGAAAACGTGAGAGAAATCTTGATAAAAGGTCAATAAAGCTAATGTTATCACATTTATTAATAAAAATTGTTAACTAAGACATCAAAATATTCCAGAAATTAAGCAACAGATGTTTTTGTTGCTTCAACACATAATTTAGAAGAGAATTTTCAAACGATTGTCGAACGACACAAAGAGTGCGATACAAAATAATTATTTGGTTTCAAATTTTAGTTTTGAATGACAAACGTGCTTACTATCTAAATCAGTGGATAATCACTGATATTAGCCAGTATGTCACTGGTAATCAGTGAATGAAATGTGAGATTTCTAACTAATCTTTATTATGTGATCTGATTAACCTTGTTTTCGTGCATCGATTCAATGAATGATATTAGAAAAGTATACAAATGGTATTAGAAGATTGAAATTAACATGTGTGTACCAATAATAGTATTTTAGGCATATAATATCTCTAAATTTAAAGGTATATATAATAACTTTCCTTCTTTTTTAGTTAAACTTTACTGATTCAACCATTGGACTATCCATTGATTAGAGTATCAGAGGTTATCTTGTTTAAATAATAACAATACAGTTTTTGTAGCTTAATTCGTAAAATATCTTGATATCTTACTTAACAATTTTAAGTTTTTTGTCTTTGATAACGATTACTGCCACGTTACCGATATTTCTTCAAAATAAGCGATATATCACTTAATTTTAAGTAACTCTTTAATGTAATATGTCATCTTGAAACTTCTTAATTTGGCCGAAAAACAGCTTTAACTTAACATCCTCCTTTGCACACATTCGCGAGCCGTACGTGAGGGAGTAATATTCAAAGTTTTGATGACGGGCGGATTAATTTGAGCTCGGAACGCAAATCCGGATAATTTCATCCGGGCTCAAGTATACAATTCGTGGAATAATTTCTTACGGAATACTTACGCACGAATGTCGCGATCGTGTGAGAAAACGAGACGTATCGCGCTATAAAAACTTTCTTCGCGAACTAAGTACGTCGGTTTGTCGTGTGCGCGGTCATAAAAATCGCGATAGCTCGCGGCATTAAAACTAAGGCATTATTATTAACAAAGGGAATTATGAAGAATCAAGTATGAAAGAAACGACATGGTTTTTTCTCTTTTCTGCGCAAAACATCCAGATTACGTCTTATTTGTTTTATCTCAATAAACGAAACGTTTTTCGCCTATTAACGTAGATATTAATTTACGGTTAATCCTCTTAAGTTGTCAGGCATGCAAAAGTAATTGAGTTAAATATCATTGTTCGACTTTATATGTATTTTTAGAGTTTATATTAGAAACATAGGAAAGAGTTGCTAAATGTGTACTGGTTGTCTAAATTATATCTTATCAATATTTTATATTATTAGTTAATATAGACAATAGTTAGTAACAATAATATAAAATACGTAAGAAATGAGTAATATACATAGATAAAAATATAATAGTCTATGTCTTGTTTTATGAACGTTATAGCGGTGTTTTAAAAAATAAGATACATTTGATACTAATTTTTAATCAACTTTTTATGTAGCTGATTACAACATAATCATTTAATTTTACTCTACATTTTTCTATTTTCATAGAAGAAAGTTTATCCATCAAGTTTTCTAAATCGTACCATTAAAAAATAAGATTGATAATTGATAATAACAAAACAAATAATTAATATGAGTACAAATTTCAAGTACAAAAATATATTTAAGCCAATTTTATTTTAATGTCATTTGTCTTTTCATTATTATTATTTAATTATAAAGTACTTGATTCTTTTCAATAAGTAATTAAAGTTAGGTATTGGTTAATTATTAAAATTATTAATAAAAAGTTAAATATGTAATAATAAGTGTCCGAAGCCTCAAGCGCTGAAATTTCCATTGTTCATTTGCTATTTTTTATTATATTTTCTAATTGGCACAAAACAATGCCAAATGGAAAATATAATAAAAAATAGATTAAGTGGTACGCATTCAACTCTCTTCTACGTGTATAAATAACAATAGCTCTAAATTATATTACGTAATTAAAAATATGTAAGTTACACTTGCATTAAAATAAATTTTTACGTATTAAATATGCATGAAAATAAATTTTCATAATATTAATAATGTTAATATTGTTAATATCAATATACTAAATTAATCGGTATATATTTGTTTGCGTTATAACACCGATAATGACCATAATAATAATATTCGCGATAACGGCGTGCAAACGCGTGATTAATCGGATTTATGAGTATAAAATATATAACTGTTTGCAAATCATGTGTTTTTTACTGATTATATTTATTCCTCAACTACATAAATGATCGAAAACTCCGCATTTACTCCGTAAAATCGATGACAGCGTTAAAAACAAAAATTGAATTTAAAAAATTTTCCAAATTCGAATTACGGTATACATCTGCCGTTGACTGCAAAGAGAATTCGTAATAGAAAGTACGCGCGAAGTTTGCGTGTAGGTGGTAAAAGTGAAGCAACGACCCATGACAAATTATGTAAATCTTCTTCTCTTTTGTAGTCTTGCGCACTCGTTGATTGATCTAACACTCCGCACTCGTGCATCGTTGATGGACTTGCACGCGCAATCCGCAACGCGTTTCGCAGATGGCACACACACAGAAATTGTAATTCATCTGAGGTTTAATTTGACGCCGCTTGAATCGATGAGTTTTGCCAGACAGTTAAGAGAATTACAGTTTTGCGCTACATGAGTAAACATGTAACAGACAATATGATCGATTTAACTGTACATATGTATTGATGACGTCAGTAGTGGTATGGAATTGTATGGAGATTGTTCTGACAATTGCTTGTGTTCTTACTTCACGAGAGCATGTATTATACAATAGAAATGACAGAAAATGATAAAGTTGACGCGCGCGCATCACTATTAAACATTTAAAAAAATGCTCGTCGACAGACGAAACTTGATTTTCTCTTTAATGCGCTTTATTCTCGAATCAGTTTTAAAACAAACGGATTTCGACGTTAATATCACGTTAATTAAGGTATATGACTATTATTATAATGTAAAATGAAATTATAGCATTGCCTTAATATTTCTATCTCTCCGGGAGGCTTTTCTTTTTTGTAAAAAAAACAAGCGTGTACTTTTCATCGAGAATACCGTGTGGCAAACACGGGCGTCGACAATGAGTCATCCACAGATTTAATTCCGCTTATACTCTTTCTAACGAGATCTCGCTACGAAAAAGGATATAAAAATATGTATCTCGCGCAAATGTACCTCTGATTTAATTTTCGTAAATTCGTATGTAGGTCGGATGGTGTCAGTACCATCCTATGAAGCCGCTCTATGTTCTCGAGTTCCTTTTTCATCTGCGGTATATACTCGGCCAAATAAAGTTTCACCCACTCGTCGGATTCCATTCCCTGTCAATTAGATACGTAGCGATACTGGAAAATTTTTCAAGGAACTTTAATCTTAACGATTACAGATTCTGCTGAGTTTAATGTTCGACGTTTTTTACATTGCAAAATGCACCTTACGTTTTATTATTATTATTATTGTTGTTGTTGTTATTACGTTGATTGCCATATGTTACCAACCATTTTTGCTGGTAAATTCACCGGGTACGCATTATAGCTGTTTCAATATCTGATTCTCGAAAGTGTCGGTTGTACCACAAGCAATTTCCCGATTGGCCAAATGCGCATGATAGCATAATCGTACACACGCGAAATGTGTTTCTCCCTTCTCTTCCCCTAATGCAAGCAATACAAGCACGATAAGTGCTAATAGCTGGTCTCTGCAAATCGAGACGATTCGATAGTTCTAGGAACGTTACCTTTCGGCATGTAATCAACTCGGCAATTTATCGATTAGTTTCACGACACATAAACTTTACAAAATAATGTTTTTTGTTTTATGGCATGCCTTCAAATTAAATTCTTATATTTTTTACTAAATTATATTGTTTATTTATCAACGTTTTCAAATTTAACGATTAATCTTTAGCTCGTAGTCCTTTCCTTTTTCGATATTTTTAAATTTATTGAGCTTTATTACTAATATATTTTACAGAATAATTTCTTAAAATATTCAAAGATATCTTTTATGTTATTATTATACCATTGATATTCTTTGCAGTTATTGCAACGGCATTTCAATATATATGCATAAAATATTTTTCAAGAATTGGATTTATTCAAAGTTAGCTGACACAGAAAGCTATACGAGTTAGCAACGCCCGAAATAAATAGTAGGTCGAGGGGATAGCTACGAAAATGTAAGAAATACGAGTGCCATGGCTTTAACTTCACTCGCTGCGATTAATAATCTATTTTTTCTTTTTTACGAAATAAGAGAGGGAACAATATACGATATTTTACGTTAGAATATGCCCCCCAAAAAATATCGTGTTTAGTCATATGGTTAATGGATCAAAACTTTGGAAAGTTAAAAACAGATAATACAATATTTTACGCGACGATATCTCTCACAAATAATATTTGTATAGAACGAAAAATATTCCGCATAGTTGCGTTTCGTTCGTTTCCATATCCTCTCGCATCACCCTTTCGTTTTTTCGGCATCGGCAGTTTCACCAGAGAGCCGATTCTTTATTTGGAATAACATTCAACGTTATATTTTTTTAAATTTCTATGGAACGTTTGTTTGTGTTTGTGTTTGCTTCATAATATTTTTTATTGATAAATTATAGCATGTAGTGTCTTAAGGGATTCAAGTTGCGTCTCTAACGTAAAGACGTCAGCTGAGAAACTGTGTTACAAATTACGTAATGTATAGATTATCAATTTTTGTTCAAAATACCAGCAAATTCTACAAATCCATCATATAATTTAACTTAACTCTGCTTAATTTCGTTGTGAAAATTGTAATTGTATATCGAAATGCAATAGCCAAATGATTTCACGTATGAGTTAGTTTCCATAATATTATTGCATCGAGATGTAATTATACGAAAATAAATTTGTTCCCTCGTTTTGCTTGAGGCATTGGCTCGATAAATCCGCGCTAATTTTGTCATATGCACTGCGCACGTTATTGATTAATGTAGAAAGATAAATATATAAATACCGAATAAAGTTTATTTCGTTAAATTTGTGATAAACACATTGTGTACCAATTGAAGCTTCGATATTATTTGGATCGTTCTATTATACAATTGATAAACAAAACATTTTTGTACCAATAATCATAGTTTTTAATATACTCGGTTTTTTTTCAGAGATTTACCGATATTGCTCTTGTTGTTATTGATTGTATACAGACATTTTTTAAAAATGTTTTTGAAAGGTTTCTAATTAAATTATTAAATAAGTTTTTATATCATATGCGATGTTTCGTTGCAGTTTTTGGGACATACCGAGTGCTTGGTGGCAGGCGAGTACAGTCACAATGGGTATCGGCGTCGCGATTGCAGTGATCGGTGCCCTGACACTTTTGGCAGCAGCATCGTCATTCCTTCCGCATATTCTCAAGACGCCAAAGCACACAAGGATTCTTGGTTCCTTACAACTGCTTGCTGGTGAGAGCGTATTATAAGTATTTTTTGCATCTTGTAATTAAATTTATTATACATCAATGCGTTTGTTACTACCATTTGTGAGAGGAAAATATTTTTCATGTATCATTGAATTGTACAATAAAATAAGCTTCGAATCCTTTTATTGAATATGGAGAAAAAAAGTAATGCATCTTCAAAAATGACAACCTGATCTCTCCTCGTCAAATTGATGCGAAAGCAATGGAGCTACGAGAGACTCGCATTTCGCAGCGAAATAATGAACTGTCCCCAAATAAAATAGATATCAAGCGACGTCATTCTTCTTCTAACATTGACATATTCCATTTACGCGCTTCAAGTTAGTCCGTTGTTTTCGATTCTTTTCTACGTTTAAGGATCGCTTTCGAAAAATGACAGAGTCACAGACATGATCGATGCAGGATGTAGCCAGGAATGTCATAGTATTATTTTTTTTAGAAAAAAAAATATTTGATTACACAACCTTAAAATCGCCAAATTTGCATGAGCAATGCTTTTTTTGTTAAAATATTCATATTTTGCAAGCAAAGCAATTTTGCATTCCAATCTCGTTCTTTATTTTTATACAATATATAAAATAATATTTTCAAGATAAAGAAGCTTATTCAATATCTTAACAATGTTCAATCAGTACTACAAAAGAGTAAACAAATGTTGACGCTTTTTAACGGCAACTAAATTCAAGTGCGCAGTTTAAAATTGATAAACCACTCTCATTTACTTGTTACAGCCACGATGATATGCGGCGGCCTAGTCATGTATCCGATAGGCTGGGATAATCGGGAGGTACGCGAATCGTGTGGGAAAGGGGCCAACGTTTACAATCTCGGTGAGTAGCCTAGTCCTCGAAACATCGTTTTCGAGTCTGCAGGAACGCGATGCAGGTAACGCGGGATGCGAACCGCGTGGAATGGTGCCGGAACTTAATTCCGGAATGTGGCGCGCGAGTTATTGATTTAATTTGATAACTAATTAACGCGCTCGACGGATTCGCTGCACGCGCGCGCGCGCGCGAGAGGAGAGTTGCTTTAGTTGCTCGTTTCCTAGTTTAACGACGTCTTCAGCGAGAAATTGCCGTTCCATTGCAACGCGGCGAAATCTACGGACGTGTGTCTGTATCTAATCACTCTTAAGACGTAACTACCAAGTGACGACAGCGACGATGGACTGGAATCAGTAATGGAATTTTCTGCATTTTCGCAAGCGAGTTCCCGAAGCGTTTTACTGAGCACTCAACAATTTATAGCCATTTTTTCTCGAGATTTCACATGAATCAATCAAAACTTAGAGCTTTTGTGTGTAACTTTACGGAACCATGTCTCAATGGCCTCGGATGTAGCTTCTGAGTTTCTCGTAATTTCCCAACGCGGTACGTAACGATGCGATTCGACATCGGCGATCCGATGATTTGCCTTTCAATACTCGAGGGATGATTCGTTGTTGATTCCCCATGACTGCGGATGTATACGTTGTAGTCCGCATACAGGATCATCTCCGATAAATCCGCATTCGGTTTAACTGCGTGATAGAACCCGAAGAAAATATTCGTTTATTTCGCGCTGTTGCGTCAAATAGAAATCATCGCATTAAAATAATTCTATATCTTTTCTTGTATAAAGTTTCTCTCAAGATGTTCAATTTTTTTTTCTGAATTGTATGAAAGAAGCAATTTTGCACCGACAAAGGAAACTTTTAATAAAATTAACCATAACAATATAAACTTTTGAATAAGACCGTCATGTGACTACACAATAATTAGGAAATAACGGCCCTAAGCGATCAAGCTAGATCTGAAATGCTGAAATAATTCTGTGTGAATTTATACATATACTATATATGTATGTAGTCTTTTTAAACCGCGCGCCGAAATTATTTTCGGTCTTGGAACGCAATCCGATTAAACTATTGTATTATAATATCACGAATTAAATTGACAAGCAATTCAATAATTTGATGCTCAATCAGGCATTTTATTAGAAAGATGTTAATGCGCTGAAAAACTGTAAATAAATTTAACCGCGACAATTTTGGGACATTTTGAACGCGGACGCGGTTGTACATTTTTTTTTGATAGGATTTTAAAGGTTTATCGAATATCCAGCTAAAACACATAATCCTTGCTATTCGGTGTACAAGTGACAAGTAATCCCAGGTGAACGCTAGGAATAAACCTGGGTTGTTAGGTCAAACCGACGTCAAAACCAACGTCACAGTGATGACGATCGAATTACGTATATTTCCAATAGAGTACCGTTAGTTAAACGACATTTACTGCGGTTTAAAAATTAAAATTATTTATAGATTTTGATAGAAGCACGAGAGTACGTTTCAATTATCTAAAATTGTTCGAAGCGATCATTATATATTCTCAATTATAATCGCAAATAACGTTTCTATTGTTTTAGCGTTAAATTAGATTTATAGTTATTCCATTTGCATTCAGTGACGATATCGGTTACTTATTATTACGTTCATTTATGCCATATTATATCATATTATCGTCAGGTTTCATAGTTTTACTATGTTTATTTCTATCGCGAAAACATTTATTTATACATCCTAGTATCAAAATAAATTATTATCTAAAATCAATAATATAATATGTAACTCTCTGTCGACAATATGAAATTAACTCTTCCATCAACATAAGGGAATCTTCGAGACACAAAGCAATTTGCTTGTTCCGGATTACCATACATAATAATTTGTAAAAATTCTGATAGACTTGTCAAAGTTTTGACAACAACTTTTTACCATCATATAGGTATATAAAAATCGGATATTTTCCTTAATAATTTGTAAAAATTCTGATAGACTTGTCAAAGTTTTGACAACAACTTTTTACCATCATATAGGTACATATATAAAAATCGGATATTTTCCTTATATTTTATAGATTTAAATCTGCAATCTACCAAAATTAACAATCGAAATATGGATAGTACCTTTAAGACTTCATATTGCCGGCAGAGAGTTAAAATTAATAATAATAATACCGTAGTGTGACGTTTTTTAGTTAGCTGTTGCGTTATTAAAAAGCAATTTTTATCTCTCTAATTGTAATCTCTCGAAAAATAACTTCTGTAAGTTATTCCACGGCGTACGCGATAAAATAAATTTGCCCGTCTGAATTTATTAGGCTATCTCGGTGCGCTGATTAAGCCATTACAGGCGACGATTACATTCAACCTCGGCACGACAATTAGGCCGACTAAGCTATTCTCGGGGAAATTCCCGTGGGTAGCTACGGATCGCTGTCGAGGTTTCACCAGGGGGATCACCGAGACGAGTCGATGACAGACGGATGCCATCTGTTTCAGGGAAGTGCTCGGTGTCCTGGTCGAGTCACTTGCTGGTCGGCTCGGTGGCGTTGCTGATGCTGTGCTTCGGCTTGAGCTTCTGCGCGGCGCGACACAAGCCCGACGCGAATCCGCACACGGATCCTCTGCGCATTTGACAATCGAGGTACTCTCAGTCGATACACGCCTACGCCTCGCCGAAGACGACGACACTCTCCATCGTCACGGTCTGTTGATCACGCGTGCCTGTTGCGTGCACGCGATCCGCCGTTCGCGTAACCGAACGCACCGACATGCGTCCAACACGCGTACAAACACGAATTCCGCGCATTGCGGAATCCCGCGCGCTTCACGGCATGCATGAACCGCGTTCTCATTGCGCGTGCATGTATATATGTTTGTATTTTTCAAGCAGGGCGCGAGGGCGAATTTTTCCGCATGTCCCGCGATGGTTTAACGCGTGGTTCGACATGAACGCACCCTCCTGCGTGCGCGAGCGACCTCGTTAATATTGACGTTTTGACTCACAATACATAGACCAGCGAGACGAACTTAATAAATGAACACTGCGATTTCATATAGCATTCGACAGACGAAGCGATTAATAACTGAAGTGAAATTAACGGGTAGATACGAGTTGATAGCTCGAACGGATATCAATCTTTGGTTCGATCGTCACGTCGTATATGACGTACGAACGATCTAAACTTCGCGGACAAGCGTGCTTCTCCAGAGATGCTGTCTTCGACGAGATTCAGCTCGAGATTCGGAAAGTTTGAGAGAGGCGCTCTCTCCATGATCCCCTGACCAATACAACCGATACCTATATTTCCTAGCGAACAATTCCTCTAGCGCGAGATTTCGAAATCACGTCCAAGAGATCCGCAGATTTCGGGAGATTGATTAAACTTTTGACAGGTTAACGCGTATCTACCGCCCTTTCTATCCATCGAAGCAAATCCCGCGTCTCTCTATGTATATAGCCCGCAACCTGCATATGTACGTATGTATATACACGCTGGAGTGAATCCTGTAGTCCTGTCTCGCGCGGCAGACGGTTGGAGAAAGCCGCGCGCGCCACGGTATTTCCAATTCCGTGCCGTAGTAAGCCCCTGGCTGAGAGCGACGAAGCAATTGGCAATTCGCCTCGACGGGACTTTCAGCACTTTCAATTCGCACGGGGAGCTCGCTTGCCGGGCGAATACACACGGTGTGACTGGAAAGGAGCCGGACGGGGAGACGGACACTCCTTTCCTCTCCTCTCCTCTCCTCACCAACCTACCCTCTTCCGCCTCTCCCGTATCGAGAAAGTCCGTATTCAGATGCGCCGTAACGATCACGGTATCCAGGAGGGCTGCTGCCGTGCACGCTCCTCTCGAGGACCGGGAATCACTGTGTTTCCCACGGTCCGAAAGCCTTTCGGATATATCGATCGCGAAGGCGCGCAGAACGTTTCGACTCTCCAGAGATTTGCACGTTCCTCTTATTTATCCTCGTCTCTCGGATTCTCCCCTCAAGACGCTATTTCCTTCGTGGAAGTAATGCGTTGGCTCAAGCGTGAGTGTCGGTTTAGCGTTCTCTTAAAATTTATTTGGATCTACGATTTCAGATTTTATTTCTAGGACGTTACTCTTCGGAATTTTCCGTGTCTTCCGACTTTTACGAGACAATCTTTCCCCAATAATCTCTTTTTCTTTAATAATAAAAGATTGTTATATTCCCCAAAAGATTCGTCAACGCTATTTTGTCAAACAGCAAGAGATTGTTATATCCATATTGAATCGCGCGGAAGCGTTGAGAAAACTGGGTTCAAGTCGGTAAAGCGGATTGAGAATTAAACGGGTGGCGAAATCCGCGTAATTAAAAGATAAAAGGATCAGAGAGAAGATCGGAGTTCTGGGGTGGAGATGCGGGTAGTAGTTTATTTGTATCGCGGCTCCTATCTAAACTGTCCGCACAGGTCTTTCACTTCGCTCTCTTTTCCAAACGAGAGGGATCAGAAGGTCGAGTTAACCAAAGAGAAGTGTACAGTTTTGTCGAATATTCGTTACTCTCGTTTAAACTTTTCAGCGCTAACTGCGACGTTTACGAGAGTGATGTGCGCGAAGAGTCCTTTTTTATTTTTATTCCTCATCACTTTAAAAAATTCGCGAGCGAATTGATGCCTTTACACTTTTTGTTAAGCAAAACGACGCCGCAATTTGCCGCGGAATCTCTCTGTCGCGGTGCTCGTTCTCGTGAATACCGAGCTCGCTCCCAGGTAAAAAACAGCCCGCGGCGGTATACCTGTGCGCGATATATATAAAAAAAAAAAAAAACGTAATATTCAGCGCGCGTATGTAAGCAAGGTGGTGTATGTGTTAGCCCCGGTGAAATTCGCAATTGCGGGCGCGGTCGAATTTCACGTGCTGACGGAACGGCGCGCACAAACGATGGCCGCGCGTTACCCGGTGAAGGCATCGCTATTGGCCGGATAAAAATCCAAGCTGAGCAAACACGCTGGAGCATGTTTCGCTCGCGCGGGTTCTCCACGCACCGCTTACTTCTCTTGCATTGGATTAATCGGGATTTTTTTTTCTGCGCACGCACATGCGTGATGCGTTCGTATTCCGGCGCGCATGAAATAAACGGATCCGTTGTGGTTCCTCCACTATCGTGCGTCTGATACAAATCGTTTCGTCGTGAATAAAAGAACCCGCGGTGATGTGGTCACCGTTCTCTCTCTCTCTCTCTCTCTCTCTCTCTTTCTCTATACGTGAATCAAATATACTCTGACCATGGAAATCGTCGGGAATTCCGAAAATATCTCGGTTCCCCGTTATTGACGCGAATCGAAGTCACGTCGCGCGCATCGGCGTGGCTTTCGCGATCGCAAATTACGCGACACTCTACTGAAGGTGTCATAAAACTACTGAAAGCTTTTTGCGTTATCTACTTCGTGTACTTCAATCTAGATTTAGTGCTTGTCAATGTGCGCGCGCCCACATAGCGTTACCGAAATCCTACGAATTCCGATGAACGCGTCAATCGTTTCCGTTGGATCGAGAATGCGTGGCTCACAAGGTAGAAAGTTCCGATTTAAATATCACGCCGTATTATATTACTATACCTTTTTCTATATCATATACATATATTTGAGATAGTTTAATTAGTTTCTTCTGAGAAACTTTTCCTCGATACTTAACAACATGCGTCGTCGTATCCTCTTATTTTCCAATAAGACTTTCAGCAACTTCCGCCTCTCAAACCTCTAACTCGATTCACTCGTTAACTCGTGATTCGCTCACAGTACTACTAGATCTACTACATCGTGTTCTTCTCTCAAGCTGCAACTTTAGGCTTCCACTGAAAAGTACAGTCCCCTGAGCGGGACTTAGTAAAGAGAAAGAGAGAGAGAGAAGGAGAAAAAACAAGAAGGTGAAGGAAACGAGCCGCGCCGGTTCCGGATCTATCGATCGATGGGTCGGTTTGCTCGCTGGTAGAACGGACGTTCTGTTCGTTCCCTTGAGAAACTTTCGCGGTAAAACCTCTCCCGTTCGCGTGCGCATTCTCCAACATCCCGTCCCTCATTCGTTCCGTTCTTTTTCCTCGCTCGTCGTCGTCGTCCTATACCTTCCCACACACCGATCTTTCCCTCTTCCATCTTTCGCTTACGCGCTTCCACAACGCCGCTTTCCCGATTCCACTTTGCCTCTTATCGACTTCCGCCCTTCCTTCCTAAACCTAAGGACTCGCCCCGGCCATTTCTCTCGTGACCAGCCGACACCACCAACCGCCAAAGGTGGGGAAAAGAGATAGCCGGAAAAGCGAGTTCGTTCTCGTGACTAATTGAGCTATCGGTTCGCCAGCGAGAGATACGGCAGATCGTGGCGAGTAGAGGGAAACTATTCAGGAGTACGAGGAATGTCTCGACGAGCCAACCGTTACCCTCTCGTACCGCGTAGTCCTTATGTGTTTTCGCTCGCTTGATTCCATGGGCACTTATCGTACAGAGCCTGGGCAGAGCTATTTCGCTGTCTCTATAAACGTACCGCTTCTGCAACCAGTTGGTTGCTTAGCTGTCCTTAGGGAGGCCATAAGGACTACGAGCAAATTCCTGCGCCAGTTTATTCTCTCTCCGTTCTTCAGCTTAATCTTAATTTCGCCACGACTGCTTCCACCCTCTACAATTCGGTTTCTTCGGCAAGAGGCAAGAAATGAGAACGATAGACTACATTTTCACTTAAGATATTAGCAAGAACTTTACGCTCAATATATACATACATTTATTCGTTTTTGCAGAAATGCAAACCAGACCGAGGTAATATATATCCAAGTCTTTCCCTCTATCCAATCTTAATGATCTTTACGTATTATATTTTAACAGTGTGCATAAAAATAAGAGACACTTTTTTTGATCGAAGAACCTCTTTGAAATAATATCGATTATCATTTCGAGTGAATATTGTTGAAATAATAAGAGATACAAATTATTTTCCGATAATAATTTGAATACGTATTCTCACATTGTCAGCTCTAATTTGAAGATTTTTTCTAATAAAAAAACACATAAAAGTGTTCTCTGATTTTAATGAACAAAAATAACAGAGTAAAAAAAAAACAACAATTTAACATATACATATGTTATATGTATATGTATGTATGTGTGTAATAATTTTTTGAAAACAATTTTTTACAATATTTTAGAAAAATTTAAATTAAAATATTGGTATACGCGTCACGTGTATTTTATGTTTCCTGTAGTGACAGTTTTTTTATTTGTAATACATCACAATATATCACAATGCAAAATAACATTTAAGGCAAATATGGTTATAAATAATTTTTATGCATAATTATAATCTGTTAAAATAATAACGTGAAAACATTTTTGATGAGACATCAAAAGCTGTAGAATGATGTAGTGAGATAAATGGCGCACTGACGCAGTAGCATAATTTTATTTGCAACAATATATGCACCGTATATAAGCATGGTAACGAGACCATCCTATCAATTTTCCAATAAAGTTTATCTTCAGTAAAATAACAGAGTTATATTTTAATATAAAATATAATCACGTAAAGGAGAAAGAGGGAGAGAAAACTGTGGAAGAAATAAAGAGAAAGTTAAGACCTGATTAATACGATTACACGTAGTTCGCACGACAATATAACGG